AATTTTCCTATGTTCAACTACATTTCATCTCAGTGTTTAACCAAATTATTTGAATTAAAAGGGCAGCCTCTACAGAAAGGTGCCATGTCTGCCTTCAGGCTTTTGTTTGAGCTCCTACACAGAAAAGTACTTTATGTGCAGGACTGGGTATCTTCTGTCTGCACAGAAATCTCATCCTTAAAATGCTTTATTAGTCTGATGTTTAGATTTTAATTAGAGAAGAAATTTCAACCTATTGTGAAATTCTCTGTCTTGGTTAAAATGCTGATTTTTAAAGCAGAATTTCTAGGGTGGTTGATCTGGTGTTTTTCTCCTGGATAGGCTTTGTAAACAGTCAAAAATATTTCTGTATTTAAATATACTTAACTCAGTAAGAGCAATGCAGCCTTGTGTTTTTTTACATCTGCTGGCTGTATATTAAATACCAATGTGGAGAGGGGGTGGCTGCTAGCTTACACTTGCATCATCTTTTCTCATTCACTTTACATGATCTGAATCTTGTTTGTTGAATAATACACAGAACTGCATAAAAATACTAAATCAGTATTTCCCAAACATGGATGCTGAGAGCTTTTCCATGAGAGCTTTGTCCAAACACTACAGTTCCTTAGGCTGCATGTTGCATTTGCAGGCAAAAGCTATGCTTGGTTGGTATTAGTAACTTCCCAAAGTTTACACAAATTTAGCTGGCAATCAAATCAAAAGCATTTTAAACACTTCTTGTAAGCAGAAGACTGCTGAAATTTGGGCTGTCCTGTTTGCCTGAAACTGCATGTTACTTAAATAACAGCATGGATATGTGGAGGAAGTGTAGTATGAGTTAATTTATAATCTACTCAGTGATTGCATGAAAACAGTATTTCAGTGCTGTTGCCTCTTGTCTTGTGTGTGTTTTCAGAGGTTGCAGAACACCTTTCAGGAGCCCAACACACCAGTTTTACACACACTGCAGAGCCCTGCAACGTCTTGCAAGTCTTTTGTAGAAGGTGCTTACTTAAAAAAAATAATGTTTAAAGTACCTCTCAGTCTTTAGCAGGGCTTGCTTATTAATAGGAGGTCGGATGGAGAAACTTTGGTGCATAGTTGCTTACAAATAATTGTCCTGTTGAAGAATGGAGGACAGGGAGATTAGAGTTTATTCCTTATCTTTACAGCAATGTTGGAAATAATTAGAGAAGTACTGGAGCTCTGTTGCTGCAAACTGGTGGTGTACTTTTGTGGACCCAAACAAAAAGTAGGGTCAAAAAAATCCTGAAATTTTGCTTTGAGTTGTCTTCTCTGCCTTTGGTTTAAAAGAAACCATATACACACATTGGAGTGGACTGGCTCTAGTGGACAGCTTGAAAGGAGCTTGGAGGTTCAACCAGAATCTCAATTGAAAGGGATTTAGAATGGAGCAGGAATTAAAGAGTTTATACTTGTAGTAAAGAATTAGTAATTAAATACTTGCCAGAAGCTGCTTAGAAGCATGCTTAGCCAAGTTCTAGGAACAAGGGGCTTAGAAGAACCATGCTTTTGCTGTTCTAGTGTCTAACTGATGGGAAGGACTTCAGATTCTTAGTTCCTAATGTGTGTTTAATATAGAAAAACTATCCTCAATTTTCAGTGTTTTGACTAAAATTTGCAGGGAAATGCATGAGGTGTCAGCTGATTTAACTGAAGAAAGCACAGGAAGGAAGAAAGGTAGAGCTGTTATTTTGCAGAAGGCTTCCATTGGGCAAATTTGGGTCATATCTTAGGCCTGTATTGGATTATAAGTGCTTATAAGAATATAAGATTATATTATGCAATAAAATAGCATAATTTAAATGCTATGCCTTCTGTTTGAATTTCATCAAACTGGACAGCATCTATCCTCACTTCTAGGAGTTTCTCCACAGAAATTGACCTTACTGTGATCCATATCAATAATTACTGTGGAAGTGTTTCCTCACTTGAATCCATTATGGTACCCATCTTTGAGCTGCATGTTGTTTTTGGTGTCTCGGAGTTGCCAGCAGTTCACAAGTTGTCTCGTCAGGTTAAAAGGGCACCTTGCACTGTCTCACATCAGCACTATATTGTCTTGTTAGTGGCATTGGTTCCTTTTGGGCATGACTTGAAAATGTGTGAGGGACAGAGGATGATGAAGTAAAAACAAACCACTTTCTTGAAGGAATTGTAACTGAGGTATGAACATTCTTAAAGGCTAAGGCAGAGGCTGTAGTAATTTCTCGCAGAAATTTTCATTTGAAAGAGATAAACCTGGAGACCTGCAGTACCTGGCACTGTGTATGTGCAACAGCTAAAAGTGAGAGCAGTTGGGTGCCAGGATTAAAATTTTGGCTATGAACATAGGGATATTAAAAACTACTGTTGGGAAAACGAGGTATGTCCTTGTTACAATAGGTGTTGTACCAATGTTATGTTACAGGAGCACCAAGGCTTTTTCTTTGAAATGCATGACACCAGAATAGTGTTTGAGTGCTCAGAATGTGGCTTGGACTTGGTCAGTCCGGTATGATGCTTACATTTCAAATCCTGCAGCTTTGTTTACATGTGTGAAAAGAAGAAAGTGAAAAGAAGATAGACTTAAAGAAGTTTAAAGTATTGTAGATGGCTAATTTGCATTAGGTATGGAGAGAGGTCAGATTTTCTATTTTTCACACTTCACTTAATATTGTGGTAATTATGGTAATTTAAAAAAGAAAAAATTCTGAACTGGAGGGAAGTGAAATAATTCTTGAAACAGTAAGTATACACCATGCAGTATTATGTGCAAGCAGTATATCACAGTATGTTCAAATAATCTCAGGGCTCTGAAATTTCTTATGCTTTGAACTGTGAACCCTGGAGCACTGCTCCTGTTTCACTGCTTTATACCACCTGTAAAATCACATTTTTCAGGAGATGGAGTATATGCCAGTAGGTTTTTAGTATATCAAATGACACACTTTACACATGGTCTGTGTAAAGGCAGTAGCATTTTGTATTTTGAGATGAGCAGCAAAACTTAGGGTGCTAACCCCAAACTGTCTTTGGGACCTAATTTTGCTCTGTTAAGGAAAAAAACCCAGGTGCTTCATCTGGTGTACATTTCTGTGGACTGCTAGATTATACTGATCACTGTTTTTTCTTTTCTCATTTATTCAGGATATACGACTCAAATCCTGAACAACCAAATATATTCCAGGTGGAGCAGCTGGAACGTCTCAAGAAAGAACTGCCAGAGTTGAAAAGCTGTGTGTGTCCCTCAGTTAGCCACTTCAAATCCATTGCTGCATGTAAATGCCATCATAGTTACCTGGATGAGAAAGCTGTAGATAACTTGAAGAGTGTTCAGATGCAAAAGGACTAATTTTAGGCAAAAAGCTGTTTTGTATCTATAGAATTTTCACCATTGGGATAGTTCTGTCTATGCTTTCAGGTTGGTTTGTTTTAATTTTAAGTCTTCAAATAGCAATAACTGTGTTCCTCCTTCCTAACAGTACTTAGTAAAATTTCAAACAATGTTAAAATATTCAGCCAGTTACAGTTATTGTTCCAATTTACATATAGTTTTAACTTTTTCCTCAAATCATCTGAAATCTTGAAAAAGAAAATTATTGCTAGTGCTTTTAAAAAAACGGAAATAAATTAAGCAGTCTCAGTAGTGGAAGCTCAGAAACTAAATTGTTAGAGAAATGACAATAATCTGATATTGAATACTGAAAATTTGTTTTGATTTTGATTTTACTTACAGGCTGACAAGCTGTAGCATTTTTCTGACAGCAGGAAATTAAGAGAGTGATTTTAAGAGAGATAGATAAATAGATCTGGCCTATAAAAAGATCTGAATGAACTGGTACCTCACGTATGTGTATTTGCACTGGTAGATCCACCTGTACAAAGCTTTGTGCCATTTTAAACTATTTATTTTTTAGCAAACTGCAGCTCATTTTCCCCCACTGCATTGGACATTGAGGCTGCTGCCTTTGTTTCCTCAGCTCTCAGCTCAGTGGTACAGTGCCCGTGCACAGCAATCAGGGGGAACCACGAGTACAGGTTTTTCATTAATCGCACACAGGCCTGCTAAACTTCAAAAATGTTGCTAATGATCATAACAGAATTACAGAAACATCTTCAGTGGTCGAGAATCCTTTTTGCACAGTAACCTTAATGGACAGAGTATGTACCCTGCACAAACTCTACAAAATGCATGCTTTATCTATTAAGCATGAAATTTAGGTGTTTGCTGAGGTCCTTGCATCTTTATGGTGCTAGTAATGTGTGAAAGGTGCAAGGACCAACTCAACAACTTAATCTCCTTTGCCTGAGAAACCACAAGCCTGTTATTCACAAACATTTGGAGAAGAGGCTATACCACACGTGGTTTGTCTTACTTAATGCAAGCTACTGGCTTTTGTCTTTTGCAAGATTTTTGGCTTTTACCATGGAGCGAGAATCTCAGATGTACTGAATTCAGATAATCAGTATTCTGTTGGCTGGTATCTATCCTCTGTAATTTATTACAAAGTCATAGTTTAGAGTTCTTAATAGATAAGTATGCATGTCCCTTCTTCTCCTGACGTTGCAGGTCATGCCAACACAACAGCTGTAACTTTCTACTGAAGTGTTAATGTATAATAAGAATGGAAAATATTTATTTTTTTTCTCTTGTAAATTGACAATGAGAACAATAGTATGTACTATATTCTTTATATACAGTCATTGCTACATATAGAACCGATTGTACAAAGAGTAAAGCCATTGCAAATAAGTGCTTGAGCCTGCACTGCTGAGCAGTTTGAAACAGCTTGTTTTGACTTGTGCATTTTAGTATTTAAAGTTTGTTTGTCCTGCACAAACAGCACAATAGTGATTAGGTATCTGGAAGCCTTCTTTTATTAAAAAAAAAAACCCAAACAAACAAAAATGCAAAACAACCCTAAACCAAAACTGGAAGTGTGTGAGCTGTGTTTTTGAGAAGGGGAGGGGGCACTGCACCAGAATCTTGGAACCTGTGGCTGTTACTTGATACATTCCTCACCTATGTGATTAATTCTTACATTTTTTTCTTATTTTTTTTCCTCATTTGTATACCCTGTGGCATCCTCTTGACAGGTCTTGAGGGCTTTGCCAACTCCTAGCAGAGTTTGTGTCACTGCTTGTGAAAGCACATCCACAGAGATGTTGAGTGTGACGTCTGTTCTGTGCGAAGGGGGTTTAAAAGCTGTGCTGTGTGAAGCACCCTCTCAGACTAATCCCAGTGGGATGCTCAGGAGGGTTTAGGCACCCTTAAAATCTTTTTTCGCAGTGCTCAGGAAAAAGCACTTTCTCTGTTTGAGGGGAGTGGGGTGGGAATAAATCCACCCACTGTGATGATTTTACAGGACACTTTTGAGCAGTGTGGGTGCCAGTGTTTTCTTGCTGACTCCCTTTTTTCTGGGTAAGTTGTGTCAGCAACTCCCCCCAAACCTGAGGAGCTTCAGCAGCTCTCCTGCTGTGCCAGTTCTTGGAGCTGAGCTCACAGCTTGGCCACGCTGAGGAGCTGTTCTGCCACAGCCACTGGCATTGCAGATAGAGGGAACCAAAGAGCAGGAATTTGGGATCTGGCAGGGGAAATTACCACCTCTGGCTTTTGAGTGCTTGTTGGAGACCAGAATGGTCCAGAACAGAGATGGCTTTGCCCCAGCTGAGGAACCACTACAGAATTTTAATCCAGAGAATTGTGAGCTGTAGTAGGGGAGACAGAATTTCTCTCTTGCTTTTTGAACATTTCATTTTGGCCCACCCAAAGGCTGGGCTGGTTGCTGAATGACATTCCCACTGTATGCCATAACTACCCTGGGTAATGAGTGTGGTCTGCTCCAGTTCCAGCAGTCATGGGCTCCTGATGCAGCAACCAGCCAGCAGCACACCAGCTCTGCTGCCCTGGAAGACATCTGGGATGGACAGAACTTAATCATGGACCGAATGAACTCTGCAGACACCTTGGAGGGACAGCCATTGACTGTGGAAAGGATGCCTGTACTTATGTGTGTGTTCATATATACATACATCTGTATGTAGCTGGACAGTGTGGGAACTGGGCATGACAGAGCTGGTCTGTTATGATATGCAGTGGCAGTTTCCTCCTAGGAAGTTTGGATGCTATCTCCAAAATTTCTCCAAATAACTGGGCCTTCACATATTTTCAGTCACGTAGATCTTGTACCTTAACTGTAAGCATGCAGCAAAAGTCTTGGTCACAGCAGCTACCAGCTGAGGAAACTCTTGCTGGCTCCACATTTGTCTCACACCCCTGGAATTGCACCCCACATGCTGGAGGTTTGTGCTTTCCCTCTCGGCTGCATCCATCATATCAATCTCCAGAGCCCAGTGTCAAAGCTTTAAACAGCCAGCAACTGCTCCCATACAGTTCTTTAAAAAAAAAGCCAGCCCTGACCTTCCTCATCCTCTTGCAGCCTCTAAACTGCACCACACACAGGTCTTTGCTCTTTCTTTTCACTGTGTGCCCTCAGATTTTTTCACAGAATCTATGTCCAAAATTTAAAAAACTCCAGCAGCTGGTCTCACAGAGAAGATCCTTGTGAAAAATGAGATTCACTTAATAAATTTTAAGAAGTTTAATATAAACAAAAAGACAATTAGGAGACAAAGAAAATAAAGCAGAGGGTTAAAATGGCCAGGTGCCCTGGCGTGTTGCCAGGTACACACCTGATATCTTTGGAACATTCTTTTTATCCCCTCCTGCTGTGAGGGTTTAATGCATATTCAGACTTTTCTAAGAAGCATTTTGCATGGTTACACCCTGAACCCACCTTTTCAGAGCATGCTTCGTATGGTTTTTATTTTTGCTGATCATTTTATTTGAATTTGATTTCCTTTCTTTGCAAGCAGTCAGTGCTGATAACAGTCTGGGCCCCTCGTCCTGCCACTGGTGGCAGCTGGGCTTCACATCCTTCTGCTGCCAACAGCCTGGTCCTGGCTGCTGATAACAGCCTGGCCTCCACTGTCCTTCTGCTGATAACAGCTTGGGCCCCACTGTCTTTGCCCTCTGGGGTTTCTGTGCTTTGTACCGAGGGACACCATGAAATTCCTTTACGCTTAAAACTTGTTAGCAAGAGAAAAAGTACATACATAGCCAAAAAGTATTTGACATATAATACCCATCCTAATACTTGCAATCACAATATGGATTTATAACATCCTGGAAGAGAGCCAGTGCTGGGCTATACCTTTCTTTTGTAACCTATAAATCCCTTCTTCAGGATCCAAGCCTGAAACTCTCCACTAACTGCTCCCACTAAAGGTGCCAGGACAAAATTTGTCATTTTTGTTGGCTTTTACCTTCCCACTCTTGCCATTCAGAACTCCACCCCATATCCCTGTGTACTCCTAGACAATTAAATGTACTGTGACATTGCCTCAGAAACTCAAAAGGGCAGACCTGAAGTCAAAAGTGTCCAGACCCTACTGGCAAAATGTGCCAGGTCAAAAAGAAATACGTTTATTTTGGAAGCCAAACGTCTCTCCCCAGTGTTCCGGGTGCAGGTAAGAGGTTCCCCAGGGGAGGTGAAGGCCGGCACCTGCTTTCCTTGATGGCACTTCCTGTGTGGGAGCAATCCACTCCCAGGAGCCCTGCACCAGAACGTGGTGCTGCCTCCAGTGTTGAATACATCCACCAGGGACTGCTCTAGCACAGAAGTTCTCTCGAAAGAGCTGCTGCTGGTTTGTACTTCCCTGGGGCAGCATCTCCTGCACCACCACCAATGGGGTGAGGTGCTTTCCGTAGCAAATAAAGGCATCCTCATCCTCTTTCTGGAGCTCACCTCCAGTATTGGGGTACCAACTCCAAAACCGTGTATGTCCAGGGATCTCTTTCAGAGAAACCTTTCCAGGACAGAAAGCTCTTAGTGGTCTACACCTAGGGAGCCTTGTCATCCTTTCCTTTCAGGTGGCCAGCACCTGACAAGGACAAAGATGAATAAATGACTGCTTTATTTAAATTGACAATGATAAGATGAACATGTAAAAAGATAAAAATGCAAAATGGCAAAACGACAATCTGATTAGAATTATTTAGTACACGATAAAGCTGCTAATACAGTGCTCTATTTATTGCACCAATAATACAGCTAGCTTAATAACTATCAAATAGAGACTGATGTTACTCACTCATGTCACTGACCATGGGCAAGTCTCTCACTCACCTTTCAGAGGTGTCCCTGAGAGGTGTTTCCACCCAAGGGATTGATCTTCATGCATCTAAAGAAAATATGATGAGAAAACTGGGACTGATCTTTTGTAGTACAAAGAGGTTGATTGTCCTGCAACTTACAGATTCTGTGTTGTTCTCAGCAGAACACGTTTGAGTCAGATGTTACCAGCACTTTGGTTTCTGCTCGTAACTTTGGTCTCTCACTTCCCTAGCAGGCTCTTCCACATCCCTGTTGATGCCACTTCAGCTGGGAGGAGCACCCTCATGAGGGACCTAATTTAAGAGAGTTTGGTCAAGCTGGTCTCAGCATTCTGTGCCACTGTGTCCTACTAAACCCCCTGGTTTTTAATCTATCACCAAAGATTTGTAAATAAGACAAAGAAGGGGCTTTTTAAAGCTCTCCCAGCCTTTCCAAATGGAACATCACCAGTGCTCCTGCCCCTCATAACGCAGTTGCTTGTTCCTCACACCAGTCCTGTTGTCCCAGGAACAGGAGAGCTTCATCTCTGTCCCTTAGAGAGACAGTGAGTCCCCTCTGGAGCTGTGTCTCCAGCTCCAATGTCTGCATTGCCACTGCTTCCAGCTCTCTCTTTGCTGACTGGTTTCTAGGTCTGCCTCCTATCCAAGTTTTCATCCATTATGTGTCACCTTAGGGCAAATGGAATCTCACTAGAGAAGTGGGAAATCGGGTGGACGCAGCAAAAGCACTCTCCCACCTTTGAGGAAGTCATGAAGGTCAGCACAGACTTTGCATTTAAGTGAGAAAAGGCCTTCAAGAAAAGAAGATGGCATTATCTTCTTAGATGTTCTTGCTTCAACAGTCTGGAAATTATTGAGCCCAAGGTCTGGGTAAGAGGCATCCATCCCACCCCTTCACTGCCCCACCAGCCCCGTGGTTCTGTGCTTACTCTGCCATGTAACCCTGCCCCTCACTTAATCTGCTTATTAAAAGCATTTGCCCAATTTTTCTGATGTTGCAGCCTCCTCCATTTATCTGCTTCACTGAGTTCTCCAAGGGACTTCCTTTCTCAAAGAAAGTCCTTTCTTTGCACTTTTTGTCCTCAGCTTCTGGAGCTCTGTGTTTTTGCTGTGCGCCCAAGTGTTTTAAGAAGGAGTAAATATTCCATATGAAGGAAAAGGGGAATTACTTGCTCCCATGGGCTTCAGGCAAAAAAGAAAAATTTAAAAAGTGTGACTTCTTGGGAAGTCTCATCATTTTAGGTCATTTGTGTTACCTTGGTATTTCCAGTCTCCTCCTGCGATGGTGGAGGTGTTTTGCCCCGCGCTTTGATTGCCCTCACCCCTGGATGTCTGTGGGACATTTCCAGGCCCCACTGTCACCCACCTCCTGTCCTCTGCTGTCACCGCCTGGGCGTGCGAGGGCCACGCTGGCTCACTGGGCCAGTAAAAGCGAGGCTGTCCAGGTGGATGGGCACAGGTGTCCCCTGCTGTCCTCAGCTGTCACCCCGGTGCCACTCGGCCCCGTCCCGGGACCCGCCTGGCACGCTCAGCCCGTGCGGGGACAGCCGGACTCTGCCCCGGGGCTGCCCCTGCATCTCCCAACACCTCCCATGTGACTCCAGGAAAGAGGGCTTGGCCACACCTGTGCCACTCACAGCTGTCTTCATCTGTCAGCAGGAAGCAGGGAGGAAAGAAACCAGGGCAGGAAGGAGAGAAAAGGAGGAAGAAAAGAGAGCAGGAAGGGGAGGACAGGAGGAAGAGAGAGAGAGGGAGAGGTAACGAGGCTGCATTCAGCAGTGAGGAGCAGAGTGGCCGATACCGCCCTGCCAGAAGCTTCCAATGTCCTCCTCAACCTCCACCAGCGCTTTGCCCAGCGGCCTGGCCGTGCTGACGACCTTCCCAGATGTGCTCTTCATCCCTGAAATCGTGAGTGCTGACTTCTCCCTGGGGGATGGCTGTGGCTGCTGGGTGGGCACTCAGCACGGGTTATGCTGCAGGTGTCCGGGGGTGACACTTGTCCCCAAACACGTGGCTCAGGACCAGCGCCAGACCAGAGCCACAGGGGCTGGGGGCAGCTCACCCTCGGAGAAAACCACAGGGCATGAGGCTGTGAAGCTCTCCTTTAGTCTAAAAATCCTTTACATTTGTCTGGTGCCTTTGAAAAACGTTGTCATTTCCTGCCTGAGAAAACGGCAGGGGTTGCCGGTGGGTTTAAAGTAGGTTGCCAAATTGGGCCGGTTAATTAACCGGAAAGGTGATTTTAGTGGATGGTACAGGGAGAGGATGGCTGCTCTCTTGGAGAGGGGGCTTTGGGGCGAGCTGAGGGAATTGTTTGCAGCAGCAAAGAACCCGGCCAGGTGAGGTTGCACTGCTCCATCGCAGCATTCCCGAGCTGCAGGTGCCGAGCTGCTTGACCTGGGCGTCTGGGGGAGCAAAGGGTGAGCAAACACCTTGTAACTTCATTCCACCTTGTAACTTCATTGAGCAGAGTGAGATCATAATCTCAATGGCTTTGGCAGTGTGGTTAAAAGCATTTACTCTGAGCACAGGTTATACGACAAAAAGTCTCAACTTGAACTTTTTCCCTGTGTCCTCTGCCCCACACAGTGGAGGAGCTTGGGAGGCTTTTTTCCAGATTCTGAGTGCCTTGCTCCAGCACTGAAAGCTCTGGCTGATTATTGCAGCATGACATTCTGATAATTCCATGCTAAAAACTTCAGCTTTGTCATCTGGCACCAAATCCTTTCCTGTCCCCCAGCTTGGTCCACACTCCTGGGATGGGCAGCATTTCCTGGTGATAACAATTTAGCAAAGAGGATATAGAGAAAGGCTTTGCTTCAGCCTCCCCAGTTGTGCTCTCCTGACAGCAAGGTCCAGGTTTCCTGCAGATACATGAAGGAGGATGTCAAGTCCCTGTGGCAGACACTTGCCAGCCACCCCTGCCACTGAGTTGTGTTAGTCCTGGTGCTGAGCCTGCTGCTGGCCTCAGCAACCTTATTCCCCTTGAATTGTTTGTTTGTAATCCCTGTCTCCAGGGGATTTGGTAGGGCAGCTGGCTGAAATGAGCACCCTATCCTTTGGTTTGAGTAAGGCCTGGAAATACGCATCCCGAAGGCCCAAGAGCCACCCAGGAAGGAGGAATGCTGCATGACTGGATTTCTTCTCCAGGAAGACTCTGGGCTGTGCAGCTGTGTGACCTCTGCCGTGTACAAAGGCGGTGGCTGCCTCGAAACACAGCATTCAGAGGGATAAAGAGTTTCTCATTCCTTAGTGGAATCTCAGGTTGCCTGCCACGGGCCAAGAGGGTAACAAAACAAAACAAAACTGGCATTTCAAATGCTGAGAGAGTTGTGAAATTTTCAGAAGATCCTACCTGCAGCTCAGATGATTGCCACATTTGCATGGGCTGATTAAGAGCCACCATTTCGAATCTGTGAGGCTCAGTTTAGTTCTTGTAATCTATTTAATTTGAAGAACTTTCTGCACATATGGGTACCCAGACCTATGTGGAAAAGCTGAAATGAGCTGAAAGCAGGTATGTTTGCTTTGTAAAAGCTGTTTAAAAGATGTATTTTTTTCTTAGACTTCTGTCCACATCCTGCTGTGAGTTATTGAAAGCCTCTCAATCCTTCCTTCCTTTTTATGAGTCTTCACCATAAAACCAAAGTCAATAATCAAACCACGTCAAACAGACTTTTCTGAGTGAGTAACCACAGCCTGCAGGAAGGGGAGATGGTGAGTGGTAGGAAGTGAGCTGTGGTACTTCTTTCCCCAGCCTCATATCTCACCATAATTGGTGCTTGATTTTGGAGCAGCCATTACCTTTCCCCCCAGGATTTTTAGCTGCAACACACTCATTTTGTCAGCACATGAGTGATTAAAAGGACTGGATTAGTGTCCTACCAAGTGTCAGCCTTTGGATGTTACAAGAGGGACCAGAACAGCAGCACTTTGGAAGAACCATTTTCAGTCAGGTCTTTGCCACATCTCAAACACATAATTGATGTAACGTGTCAATTTGCATAACGGCACCAACCAGCTTTCCTGCAGCTGTGGGGTGACACAAATGATGTAACACTTTCTAAGTTATCATAAATCAGAGACTGGAAGGAAATGGAAGTGCCATGGAAATGGAAATGAGTAGGAGCTGGCACTTGGATGCTGGCAGGGACACAAGGATCAGAATGACCTTAGAGTCAGCAAGGCTCTCCTACCTCTGGACATCTATCTGAATCCCAGACTGGCCAGTGGTGAGGGATAGGTGCCCACAGCAGCACTGTTCCACACAGTGAGGGTTCAGCTGTGGAGCTGATGTGTGGCGCAGAAAAGCTACTGAGAGCACTTTGGTGCAAAGGCACCACTCGTGCTCCCAAGGCTGGCTGAGAAGGTCCCACCTGCTCCCACACCAGCAGCTGGGACCAGGCTCTGGTGTAACCAATGAAGGATGACCCAAAGAGCTGGAGCAGCAATACCAGCTTCCTTTCCCAAGCAGAAGGTGGGAGCCTCAGGCACCTTTCCCCTACCCGGAGTCAAACCTATCCTCAGCCTGTTCTCTCAGAGTGATATTTTCATGTGGCCTTTGTGAGGGCAGGTGTCTGTGCTGTTTGTGCAGGTGAGCTGGGTCTGACACACTGAGTGTGAAGCAAACACACCTGTCCTAAATCAGCCTCCCTGTTCATCAAAGCCAGCCCTCAGAAGGGCATGAACCAGCCTCCTGAGCATACTGGTATAGGGAGGGTGTGAGTGGCAGTGGCACCATGAGGCAGAGAAACAGTGAGGGACTTTTTTGGGTCAGGATCAGTGGCAGATGCTCGCAGTGAAATTCCCAGTTTCCAATGGAGGCTGTGAGGAACTCATGGGCTGTTTCCATGTGCAGTGCCAGAGGCATGCATGATTTTGGCTCTGCTCTGGACAAGTCATTTTATCCAGCACTCACCCTGTCCCCCACTTTGACTTGCAGATCTTTGGGGGCCTTGTGTGGATCCTGGTGGCATCCTCGGAGGTCCCAAGCCCCATGCTGCAAGGCTGGGTGATGTTTGTCTCCGTGTTCTGCTTCGTCATGTCCATCTCCCTCCTGTGCCTCTACCTCTGCGGGGCTCACGGCGGCGGCGGCTGCTGGGTCACCTTGGTACGTGCCTGTGGCAAAGCCTCCCCTGCCTGGCTGTGCCCTGCAGAGCAGGGTGCACTCCAAACTGCAGGCTGGGGATGGCTGTAAGGGCAGTGTGACCCCCTTGGAGGTGACTGTGTGATCCTTGTTCCTTAGGATGTCATCTGCCAGGGGACAGCAGCGCTGTTCTACCTCAGCGCCGCCGTGCTGGAAGCCTACGCGACCTACGCCCTTGGAATGCTGCTCCCGGGACAGAAGTACAGGGAGAACATTGCTGCTGTGGTGAGTGCCTGGCAAGAGGGCAAGGAACCGTGGCTCTGGAGTGGCCTCAAGTGCAAATCCTTATTTGCACCAACAGTTTGGGGAGGGGGGAGAGAAACCAGTCGCTGTCTCACCATGCATGGAAGGTCTGTGGCACGTCACGAGGCGTGTGCTCCGTGCTGGAGAAAATTGACTGGCTGGTGTGTCTTTCCATCCACAGGTATTTGCATTTGTGGCCACCCTGGTTTATGTGATCCACAAGGTGTTCTCGCTCCTGAGGTGGAAATCATCCTGAACAACCCCAGGAACAACGACTGCCATCTCCAGGCTGGGTTTGGGTTTCGTTTTTTAATGTATAGCCTATAAGCAAGCAGCTTTTTATGTGGGATCTTGGTGATGAACACAAGGAGCCTGCCAGAGAAAGGAATATGGCACAATCTGTTTCCCTTCAATATCTTACAGGCTGGGAACAGTTTGATGCTGGGGCCAAAATAAAATTTAAAAAAAAAAAAGCCATCCAGTTTTAAAAACATAATATAGTTGGGTTCAAAGGGCTAAAATATCTTTGGACTGCACCTTTATGTGTCCAGGGTTGTTACTGGTATCAGGGGAAAAGTGACCAACAAGCAGTGAGGAGCACAAGTGTGAAACAGTGTCATTTTAATTGCTGCGTGCCCATTTACATCTGTTCCCCCCCTAAAGCTGCTGCACAAATTAATATTCTCATGCAGTTTCTGAAAATGCCTTCTCTGACTTGCAATGAGCTGTGGGGACAATATTTAACTTGGCTTGATCCACGTTCAGGAGCAATGTGGATCCTTGCAGCTCCTGAAGAGTGCTGCTGAATTCTGAGGCACGACCAGGAATTACCACTGCCTCTGATCCCCCTACAAAGCACAACCTGGAAGGGGCCCAGTAGGCTGTAGGAGAATTCTTTGGGTGATCAGAATCAAATCCTCAATAAGCAGAGGCAATCAACTCCTGCTTTTGGTGAATGGCTGTTTGCTCACACACTGCCACGGTGTCACTAATAAAGACGGGTTTGCTGTGATTTGGAGAATGGGTGAGTCCTTGCTGCTCTTTTTCCCTTTGCTGCATCCAGGCACAGCCCCAGGAGCTCTGCACCCTGACAGGGCAGTGCCACCACGGGGGCTGAGTGAGTGGCTGTGTGGAACTCGGTTGCCAGCTGGGGTTAAACCGTGACATTGAATTAATTGAAATGGGGTTTAGACCCAGGAAGGGATGTTTTCAACATGTCAGAGGTGCCTAAAGAACAGTGGTGCCAAATCATCTCTTCCAGCTTGCGGAGCAAAAAATGCTTCCATTTTAAGTCTGAAGTTCCTGGATAACAACAAGGACTAGAGCACGAGAGGGAAATAAAAAGTTGACTTAGAGGTTCCTCTGTTGCTCCATATCCAAGGAAACTTTTGACCTGTGACTATGGGTTTGGTTTGAAGCTTTTTAATTGCAAACTAAGGAAAACATTTGTGGGGTTTTTTTCCCTCGCTGCAACTAGCCTGACTTGTTTTGCTTGTATTGCTGTGACAACAGGGAACTGGTTGCAACAGAGGTGAAAAGAGAAATCCCTTTTCAGAGCAGGGAGGGAACTCAAAGCCACTTGGAACAATGGCACATGGTTCTGAAGTTCAACATCCACCTGTTGAAACTGGCTTCCCATCATCATGGGGTGTGTGTGCGGGTGCCCAGGTTCTATTAACGCCCCTGAAAGTGACATTGGAATACAAAGATGCCTTTCTGCTTAGATGTGTTTACAAAGGCAGGGATCTGCAGCCCCACCTTGGGCCTTGGAATGAGCTGTGTCTGTTCCTCCTGCACCCAGCTGTGCCCAGGCCCTGTGCCTGTCCCCTCACATCCCTGTGCCTTGTGGCCATCACAGTTACAGCCCATGGCTTGGCATGGCCCCACTCTCATTCCTTCTGCCTTGCTTTGCCCTTTGCTTTCCCCTTGCCTGCCATGCACCAGTTCACACCAGTCTGCACCGGTCCCCCTCCGTGTCCGTCTGTCCCCACCCTGCCTGTCTCCCCCACAGCATCAGCCCAGCCGTGCTGGAATCCAGCACCGGGGAACGGCAGCCGGGCGCTGCTGGCATGGCCGTGCCCATGGGGACAGGGCTGGGCAGATGGAAGGGACCCCCCACCAGAGGGTCAGGGATGAACTGACAGAAAACAGAGCCAGAACTTCGGTGCCCTGGCGGTGTGACCCCGAGTTAGGCAGCTGAGCAGGGTGAAGGAGTGTCCCTGCTTGGGACAGGGCCCCAGAGGGGACAGTGACACAGGGACAGTGACACAGGGACAGTGACACAGGGAGGGGCGGCTGCTGAATGGCAGCAATGTGCACCTTCCCTGCACAACGCAAAGAAGAGGAAATGACACGAAAGAGGTTCATCATGCCCAGCTTTCCTGTCATCTCAACACTGCCCTGAAGACAGACATGTCTTGGAAGCTGGGCAGCCCACGGGAGCTGTGTAGAAAATGGCACAACCCCAGCGCTTCCTGAAGGGAAAGATGCTGCCTGGAGCTCAGAGAATCTCCCAGGACCTACAGCCCACAGCTGTAAGATGTGCAGCACATCTCTTTCCCACAGAGAGCCCCGAGGGCAGCACTGACCTGAATTTGCTGTCACTCTGCTGAAAACATTGGGCATGATGGACACTGCAGGCTAGCAAGCCTTTTCCCTTGGGGATACTTCCATGGGGTCAGTGGCTGACTGGCAGGGTTCCCAGGATGTGGGAAGGCTGGCCCCTGCAGTTTGCTGAACGCAGACACCAGTCCCTGCCTACAGAGCTGCTCCCAGCCTGGCCCAAAATGTGGGGCTGCTCCATCCCGTGCCCTGCATTTGCTCAGGAATTCCCAGATCCCCCCAGAGGGGTATCCCTCCAGCACTGGGATTCCCTTGCAGATGTAACTGGGTGGAGCAGCCCATTTGAAAAGCCACAAGTCAGGCTTTGTGTCAGAGCACCTACAAATCCCACTCACAGTGCTGAAACACTGGGCCTGCTGTGCCCCTGCAGCCATCCCCAGCTCTCATCTGGTTGTGTGAGTGCAATTCTCTCATCTCTGCTCTTCTCCAGCTTCCTCAGCAGGACAAGGAGGGCTGCAGGCAGCTGCTCTAGAGAGCCAGGCAATTACATGCTAGTTAAACCAATCTATGCACTTGAAGGCAGGCAAAGCCTCAGCTCCTATTAAAAACAAGATTGCAGACATATTCATTAACTATGCCCAGATTGTAATCTTGGTTGCTCTTGCTTAACTAAGTGATTTAACCACGACTTTAACTGTTCTCCAAATATTTGCATATTGGATACCTTGCCTCCAGCAATGCAATGAGTTAGGAGAACTTCCATCTCCTCCTGAATTGCAGGAGAAGAATTTGATTTTTAATAGAAAATTATGGCCGGCTCCATGGAAAATGCAGGAATTTCTCATTTTACAGCCAGCTCTGTCTGTGAGCAATGAGCAATCTGTGTCCTGGGTAAAACACCTACACAAGTCCCTCTGTTAATATGAACAAACCTGTGGGAACAGTAAAACCACAGAAGATTAATTTTATGTAGGGACCTCAGCTGAACAGCAGAGATGCCAGCTGAACATGAGCACACATTCCCCAACAGCAGCTTGATGTGCTGGTGACAAGAATCTTTGCAATCTGAACACTTGACAATCCCTATTGAAGGTATATTTTGACTGAGCTGGCAAACAGGAAAAAAACCTTCATCCCACTGCTCAGCAGGCATGGCCTTGGAATTAGAATTTTCATTGCAAGAGTGAGATAAAACTCAATTATATTCACCCTGCCTGTCTGTATATACACAACTGCTGTCTTTAGAAACCTGAATTGAAATCAGTGTAACACTTGCTCCTAAATGTCTTTAACATCAGAATTCCAAATGTAAATTCCCAGGCTAACCTTGAAGGATTTGTACAGTATTCTCTCCATACTAACAAGAGGTGGCCCAAGCATCTTTTGGCATTTGGGGAAAAGCCATGACAGGCACTCACAGAGGGGGAGGCACAGAATTTAATCCCAGAGCCTCAGCAATGAACAGAGGGTGCACGCATCACCTCCCACTACTGCTGCTCGCTTCAGCATCTCCTAGAACCAGCATTCTGCAAAAAAACAAAAACAGAAAAATGGACCCAAACAAACCCACTCTGATGATTCTTTATTGCTTTCACAATCTTGTATTTTCAACAGTTTCCCAAGAACTTGTGAAAGGAACATGGGAGCTCTCAATTACAAACCATCTTCTGGAACGGAGTCAACGCAGGCTTGAAGCCGAAGACATGTTCACTGTTTCCATCTGAACATTCCCACTCAGACAGTGGTCAGGGAATGGTGGGAAAGCAAACAGTGCTCCTGGATGGCAGCAGTGACACAGATGGCACGAGACAGCTCCTGCTGCCCTCCCCTGAAACTCAAGCCCAGACACCCTGTCTTGAGCCAGGCTTTCCCAGCTGCACCTGAGCTGGAGCCACAGAGGGACCGAAGCTGTCAGCACGCCGCCCGTCTGACACTTGCCCAGGGAGATTTCAACATTCCCTGGGCTTCTTTCACCTCCCTCCACTCCAGCTTTGTGTTTGGAACCTCATCCTCAGGCTCAGGCTCCTCACGGACAGTTCCCTCGGGCAGGGCCACCACGATGGGCAGAGGGCCCTGCTCCTCCCGGAACTCCACCACGTAGAGGCTCTTCTTGTTTGCCAGCTGCTGGTGAGTCTCCTGCCAGCAGGACAGGGAAAAGATAACCAAAACAATGATGCACAGTGTGGCTTTACTTCAGGCAACAATCTACATGGGATGTGGGGAAGGGGAAAAAAATCCCAAAAAGTAATTTCCTAAGAAAGAGTTTAAGCACTGTGTAAATGAAATGACTTGTCAGGCTTATCTTAGTGGGCAAAAATTCAGATAGCCAGACCTCAGATACACTGATCAGCCCCACAGTGTCATCCCAGAGGAACCTGCTTCTGGAAAGATGTATCCTGTTCATAAACATGCCTGTTGGGATGTTAGTACTGTGCAGGAACATTTTTATCTTTATGTGGATATAAATTTTGCTGTGACAACAGAAAAGTGCCTGTTACTGCCCAGACAGTGGCATTAGCTAACATAAAGATATAAATGTAACATTATTTTCAACTACACCTCTCCCTTGCCTACAGGGTGTTTTGATAACACTCAGGTTTTACAGGTGACAGGAAATTTTTCCTACTCAGGGCAGTGAAGAAAACATATCAAGTGCATAATTCCAAAAGCAGTAATTTATACAGCAGGCCTTTCTTCTGTTCGTTCTCTGGAAGATTCTGAGACAATGACTGAAAATACAACACCAGGCTCCCTCAAGTCTGATTGCCCTGAGGTACTGCTAAGCTGTGAGGTCTGTGACACTCACCAGGCAAAGAGGATCACAAGCCCCTCACCTCCTGAGGCTGAACTGATGACATTGGCCAGGACAGGGTGACAGCCTTGACAGCTACAGCTCTGCAGGGCCGCATTGGGAATGGAAGCAGCCAGACCCTGGCAGCCACCAAAACTGCAAACAAATGGGATAACCAGGAATTTCCAGAGGGCTGACTCATCCTGAGGCTGGTGTGCAAAGGAAGTAGGATGAAATGGTGCATGTTGGAGCTTTTCCATCAGTTCCAGGCAGCTGGCTCAGACAGACATCTCCACTGTGAGCACCTCCCTGACTGACTTCAGAGATCTCAATTACAAGAAGCAGTAGAAGCAGCTGGGGCTTCAGCCCTTGTGCAATGAGAGCTTGGAACACAAAAAGCAGCAGTGACCAAACCTGGCCCACAATTCCCTCTGCCCAGGATTTTGCCATAGTCACCAAAACCAGACCAAATGAAAGCCCAGGAATTCAGATGTCCCCTGCAGACACCTGGCTGTGGAACAGGCAGAGTTACAGCTATTCCTGACTGGACAACTCCATGAAACTGCTGAGGAATTACCCCCTTTGCTGATTTTGTTTGCTCTTTGTAAGATTACTTCACTTTAAACCTGGAATATAAACTGTTTGCCCACAAACTATTACAACAACCA